CTTGGGCTCACCCTCCAAGCACATCCAGTGTCATGCGCTCGAGCTCTTTTTTGTAATTTCTCCAAAGAGCTTTCTCAGGGAAAGAATAAAGGCAGAATTGGATTCCCCTGTATTCTATCTATGATCGAAATCTGAGACCAAAAGAATGATTGGAAGTTGCAGGAACCATGAAGCGGTCGAAGGCGTGAGGGTGTGGGGTGACCCTAGATTTACATGCCGGGAGTCATGGCCTCTGTGTCATGGATGGCCTCATTAAATCCTCCATGTGCGCTTTGAGGTCTGCAAGTTGGCTGGCAACATCCTCCCCGCCAAAGAGTTGATTTAGAACCAGCGACTTTAGCGCCTTAATGGTAAGGAGTTGTTCTACCAACTCAAAGGCAAGGGATTCAAATCTATCAGCTGCTCTCCTCCAGTGTGATTTTACCTGCTTTGAAAATTTGACTCAAGGTATACAAGAACAGGATAGAACATAATAGCCTCACGGGGTTTCCAGGCCTTTGGAAATCTTTGGAAAAGCAAACTGCCCCATCTCTGCCATGGAGCAGAGTGGTGGGCGCAGAGCACCCACCTTCCCGTTAACAGCGCAACACTTTGACCGCCTCAGCCGCCAGAGATCTTTAAGAGCCGCAGAATAACATCAAAAGGAAGGCTATCCGGGGACTGGGAGTCGGAGCAGAGCGGGTGGGCGAGAGTAGACCAAAGGAGGAAAGTGGAAGTTAGTTCAAGTTTTATAAAGTGCACTAGGTAAGCTTCCAAAGAACACGCCTTGGACAGATGCGCACGACTGAGCTCACAGCTCAACGTCAGGGAGGTGCCAAGGGCGGAAATGATATTGATATTGAGGCGTGGGCAACTACTGTCGGAATCCCGAGCGCAGACATACAGAAACGTCGATCTGGAGTGGTACCTCTGCGGTAACTTCCCTGCACTTCAGCCGAGACCGCGCCGTGATTCTCCGTGAACAGCGCGCTGGGATCTTAAGTGACCAACCACGTGGCGCTGATTGGAACTCTAGGAAGTTAACTCTGGCTTATACGGGACTTTAAAACCCCAGAAACCCGCCGGGAACTTCCCAAGGAAAGCTCTGCCACCTACGTGATAAGGACCCCAAGCATGGCGAGCCGGAGTCAAACCTGTGGAGCCATTTTTTGGTATGGGGATCTCAAAACCCTTTTCCTCGCTTTCTGTATCTTGATGCCGGTAAGTAACTCACCACAGTTTCAGGGGAGGGTGAGCCGAGTGTGCTGGAGGCGGCCGCGGTCCCCGCGGGCTGGCGCGGGGTGTGAAGGCATCGCCTGGGGCCAGCGCAGGCCCTGGCGGAAAGCCCGGACCGAGCCCGCCATGGCCGCGGGGAGGGAAAGCGGCCCCGCCTCCTCCCAGCCGTTCCGCGGTTTTCGCCCGGTTGAGCCAGCGCTCGCGTGCATTTCCCAACCGGGTGGTCCCGGGAGCGACCGAGCGACCGAAGGAGCGAGAGCCACTGCTTGGGGCGACGGACAGGGACTCCTTTCTTTAGATCTCTTTATACAAATAGTTTAAATTCTAAAGAGTACTCTTAAAGAAAAAAAAGCCAACCAAAAAAACACAACCCTCTAAAGGGATAGAAATACTGACAGGATAAAGAAATCGTTCTCCACATCTTTGATTCCGCCTCCGGGTTGGAGGCCATGAATATTTTACGTCGTTCCTTCCTGAGGTTTTCCTTGTCCTGGAGTTGGCATCAGAATGTGTATAAGTCGTACTTCACGGGCTCGCTGCCAGGTTTTCTGATCTCACGAGTGAGCGTGGGTTTGTATTCCTCTTTTTTTCGTAAGTTAAGCCACAAACCAATAGTGATCCTCATTCTGAAAAACCCTTGGTGGCCAGGGCGTTGGTTTATGCGCGTCGAGTCTCTGAGCAGTTCTTTCACTTTTCGAGGTTCTTTGTAATCTCCTCCAATAATAAATGTCAAAACAAAATTGCTTGAATGATGGCAATGTAAATGTTTATATTTGATATATTGATGCTAAATTCAGAAGGTAACACTTTCTTAGGCACATTAGTCATAGGCGCTGGTGGTTTGCACTGACTGCTTAACCTGGAAAGACAGGTCAGATCCACTAGCTGCTCTGTTGGAGAAGGGTGGGCAATCTCCTCCCTTGCGGTAAACCGCCTCTGAAAACCCGCTGGAGGGTCAGCTATGATCAGATCCTACTGGAGAGTACTAAAAACAGTCACATAATAATTACAAGATTTCTTTCTCTTTTTTAAAATAAAATTTTGTGATTTTAATGAACATTTACAGAGAAGTTAGATTTTCATTCATTCATTGTTGCACATTTTACCCCCTTGTCCTTCCTTCCCCCTCCCCCTGTTCACTTTTCTTAGTTCTTGGCAATAATATATCTTTTCTTCTGGGCTGTTGTCATACGTATTATGCCTAATCATATATTCCTTTTACACAGTTCTCTCTTTCATCTGTTCCAATGCAGTGGTCATTGTCTATCCACTCTTATCCTATTCTCCCAGCCCCCCAAGTCCAACCAGCATTATAACAATGATGTTATGCAGTATTTGTCCTTTTGTGACAGATATTTCACTCACTATAATGTGCTCCGGGGTCCCCCATGTTGTGTAATGTTTTAGAAGTTCATTGTATTTCAGTATTGCGTAGTATTCCATTGTATGAATATACCATAGTTTTCTTTTGTTGATGGGCACTTGGTTTGCTTCCATCTCTTTGCTATTGTGAACAACGCAGCAGTAAACATGAGTGTGCATATATCTATTTGGATGGAGGTTATGGTTTCTTTTGGGTATATTGCCAGTAGTGGCATTTCATTGCTGGATCAAATGGTATTCTATTTCCAACTTTTTAAGAAAGTACCAAACAATCTTCCATAGTGATTGTACCATTTTACACTCCCACTAACAGTGAATGAGGTTTCCAGTCTCTCCACAACCTCACCAGCATTCATTGTTTGCAGCTCTGTTAAACTTTGCTATTTTTACTGGGATGAGATGGTATCTCATAGTTGTTTTTTATTTGCATCTCTCTTAAAGCTAGGGATTTTGAACATTTCATGTGTTTGTTTACTGTCTGAATGTATTCTCTGGTGATTTATTAATATCCTGTGCCTATTTTGGTATTGGGTTGTTTACCTTTTTCTCATTGAGGTGCTGGAGTATTCTATAAATTTTAGATATGAGTCTGTCATTACCAAATATTTTTTCTTAGTTTATGGCTTTCCTTTTTACCCAGTTGGAGACGTTTTCTGATGTAAATAAGAATTTGATTCTTAGAGGATCCAATTAATCGTTCTTGTTCTCTCCTGGCTGTAGGTTTTCATTAAGCTTGGAAGACTGTTCCTACTGTGGATTAGGGCTTCTAGAGTTCTTTGAAGCTTTTCTCTAATGTAATTTATACTTCTAGGTCCTTAATCCACCTTGAGTTGGTTTTTGTATATGATGTGAGGTGTGGGTCTTGCTTGAGTTTTCCGCAGATGTTTTCCAATTTTGCCAACATCATTTGGGTTTGTTGGGGTTTTTTTTAATTGAAATTTTAATGAAAGCTTACAGAGATTTTGGATTTCCATTCATCCATTTTTGCACATTTTCCTCTCTGCCCACCCCTTCCCCCACTTTGCTTTTCTCTTTGGAAAAAAAATTTCATCATTATACAATCCCTGCCCCCCCCGTCCCCCCCCCCATCCCCCCAGTCCACTTTACTATGAAGCTCTTATTCTAGACTCTTGTCATGAAAATAATACCTAATCATATATTCCTTTTAAACAGTTCTCTCCCTCATCCAACATGGTACTGATACAGTGACACACAGATCAATAGAATTGTTGTTGTTGTTGTTATGTGACGTCAAAGTCACCTGCAACTCATAGTGACCCTGTGTACAACAGTCCTAAACCCTGCTCTATCTTGTGCCAATCTCACTATCTCTGACACACCTACTCCTATTACCCCAGTCACTCAATCAATCCATCTCGTAGAGGCATTATGCGGTATTTGTCCTTTTGTGACTGAGGTATATAACTCAGCATAATATCCTCCAGGGTCACCCATGTTGTATAATATTTTATGAGGTCCTTGTTTTTCAGTGCTGCATAGTATTCCATACTGTGACCATACCACAGCTTCTCTATCTATTTGTTCATGAGCACTTGGGTTGTTTCCATTTTTTTTTTCTGTGTGAACAACACCTTAATAAACAATGTGCATATATCTGTTTAGGTGGCATTTTTGGTTTCTTTAGGGTATAGTCTCAGTAGTGGAATTGCTGGGGCAAATGGTATTTCTGTTTATAACTTTTTGAGAAAGCACCATACTACCTTCCATAATGGTTGTACCATTTTACAGTCCCACCAACAGTGAATAAGGATTCCAGTTTCTCTACAACCTTATCAGCATTTGTTGTTTGCCATGTTATTTCTTGAAATTCTTCTGTGTCAGCCACCTCTTTTTGGCACAATAGCTCTGTATACTCTGTCCATCTTCTTTTAGTGCTTCTTGAATCAGTCAGTATTATGCCTATATAGCATCCTTAAGCATCTCAGCTCATGGCTTGAATTTGTTCTTCAGTTCCTTCAGCTTAAGAAATGCTGAGCGAGTTTGGCCCTTTTGCTTTTTCGACCCCCGCTCCTTGCTCATTTCATTTTAATACTTTGCCTTGTCTTCCCAAGCTGCCCTTTGAAATCACCTCTTTAACTTCTTGATTTCCCCCCCTTTTCTTTGGCTTTTGGCGCTCTAGTGCAATATTCAGAGTCTCTTCTGACATCCATTTTGGTCTTTTCTTTTTCCTTCTTTGAAATGACTTTTTGCATTCTTCATTCTTACTATCTTCCCACAGCTAATGGTAAGAATGAAATGTACTAATTTCTATCAAGTGCTTCGAACAGAGCTTTTCTTGTTGTTGTTGTTAACAAAATGATCCTTTATTGAAATATTTTCATCTGTAGTTCTTAGCTAGCTGGGCATTCCACAGCACCACTGTTGATGTCTTTTATGCTGTCATGAAGGTGGTGACCATCAAATTTGCAGCCAACAGACAGGGCAGTTCCCAGGATCTCTTTAATAGTTCCAGCGAATTCGCTGGTAAAAGATCAGTGTCACATCTGCTGGCAATGATGCTAGTTTCATCAAAAGAGATATTCCCACTGTGTTTAATATTTTTCTGCTTCTTTCTATCTCTGGGTGGCTCCTTTAGGGCTCTGATGATCAGAGCAGAAGCAGAAGGTACCACTTCAATCTGGGCCTGTCTGTTCTTAATGATCAGTTTCCCTGTAATCCTTAGTCCCTTCCAGTCACTGCTGGCCTTGGCAATGTCATCACTGACCTTTTTTGGAGACAAACCCAGGGGGCCGATCTTGGGGACCAGAGTGGGTGTGGCATTGACTGCCCCACTGGTACACCTCAGGTACTTTGATCTCATTGGGGTCAAAGTTGGGCAGCATGGCAGAAGAGGCTGGTGTTGGATGAACCCAGATGCAGGACGACCAAAGAAAGTTGCATGGAGGCTGCCTCCAATTGAGAGCTGAAAGGTGAACAGAGCTTATTTTTTATTGTTAAAAATTTTTACACAGCAAACCGTACAGCAATTTAGCAATGACAATGAATATATTCTTTTTAAAAAATATATTCTTTAAGTAGTGCATTCTTTTTCACCCTTGTTTTTCAAGTAATCCTCTGCAAATAAACTCACTGCTCCCAATGCTTTTTATATCTTTCAAATATATGCTGTTAAGTTGATGTAATAGATAATGAAATGAAAGAGCACAATATTTGAGGCAAACATTTTAGTGTAGTGGTAGAGCCCAGATTGGAAGTCAGTTGAAATGAGGAAAATCAGTAAGAAACATAATTTAACAATTGGTACATGGAATGTTGGAAAACTGGAAAATGTTAAAAATTAAATAGAACACATGATTATCAACATACAAAGCATTTGTCAGATGCAGTGGACCAGCTATGGTCACTTTGAATCAGATAATTACATGTCATACTATGCGAATGAAAAACAGGAAAAATGGTGTTGCATACTTAGTAAAAAAGTCAATTTCAAGTTCTAGCCTGAAGTACAATGTTGTGAGTGATAGGGTAATAACCATATGCATACAAGGAAGACCTGTTAACATGACCATCATTCATATATATGCTACTACATCTATAGCCAAAGAGGAAGACACTGAGAATTTTTACCAAGTTTTGCAGTCTGAAATTGACCAAACATGCAATCAGGATACATTAATGATAATTGGTGACTGGAATGCAAAAGTAAGAAACAGTGAAAAGGAACAGGAGTTGGAAAATACGAGCTTGATGATAGAAATGAAGCTGGAAATAGAATGATTGAATTTTATATTTATAATGATTTATATATTGCAAACACTTTTTAAAAATGTTTTAATTTTTTTATTAATTTTAATGAAAATTTACAGAGACTTAGGTTTCCAGTCGTTCATTGTTACACTTTTCTCCCTGCCCACCCCCTCTCCCCAATTCACTTTTCTCCTTGAAAAAGAAAAGAAAAACTCTTTCATTGTTATGCAATCCCTCTCCACAAGTCCACTCCACTCTTCAGCCTTCATGCTGGACTCCTGTAATGACAGTAATACCCAAACATATATCCCTTTTAAACAGTTCTCTCCCTCTTCTGTTTCAATGAGTTATACATCATTCCTCCCTTCCTTTTCTGTCTTCCCTCAACCCTGATGTTAGTCCCATTTTATAGCAGTGGCCCTATGCAATATTTGGCCTTTTGTGACTGAGATATTTCATTCAGCATAATGTCCTCCAGGGTCACCCATTTTGTATAATAATTCATGAGTTCCTTGTTTTTCAGTGCTGAATAGTATTGCATTGTGTGAATATACCAGAACTTCTCTATCCATTCTTTTGTTGATGAGCACTTGGGTTGTTTCCAGTTCTTTGCTATTGCGAACAAAGCCACAATAAGCATGGGTGTGCATGCAAATACTTTTTCTATAGGACACAAAAGATGACTTTATATGTGGATTTCACCTGATGGGCTTCATAGGAATCAGATTGACTACATTTGTGGAAGAAATTGTTGGAGAAACTCACCAACTAGCAGTCAAAAGTAGTCCAAGGGCTGACGGCGGTTCAGATCATCAATTACTCATATGCAAGTTCAAATTGAGACTGAAGAAAATGAAGAGAGGTCCACAGGAACCAAGATATGATCTTGAATCAATTCCATCTGAATTTCATGATATTTTAAGAATAGGTTTGAGGCATTGACTACCAATGGTAGAAGACCAGATGAGCTGTGGGATGATATCAAGGATATCATAAACAATGGAAAAGGTCATTACAAAAGAAAAAACTGAAATTGATGTCAGAAATGACTCCTAAGATTGCACTAGAACATCGAGAAGCTAAATCTAAAGGAAAACGTGTCGAAGTGAAAGAGCTAAACAGACTATTTCAAAGGGCAGCTCTGGAGGACAAAGCAGAGTATTATAATGGAATGTGCAGAGAGCTGGACTTGGAGAATAAAAAGGGAAGAACTCACTCTGCATTTCTTAAACTGAATGAACTGAAAAACAAATTTAAGCCTTGTGTCGTAATATTGAAAGATGCTGTGGGCAATATATTGGGTCCCAGAAAGCATCAGAAGATGAAGGGAATACACAGAATCACTGTACCAGAAAGAATTGATTGACATGGAAAAATTTCGGGAAGTACCATATGAACAGGAGCCAGTGGTAATGAAGGAACAAGTAGAAGCTGCATTGAAGGCAATGGAAAAATATTAAGGCCCCAGGAATCGATGGGATACCAATTGACTTGTTTCAGTTAGCAGATACAGCCTTGGATGCACTCACCAGTCTATGCCAGAAAATTTGGAGTATGGCTGTCTGGCCAACAAATAGGAAGAGGTCCATATTTGTTCTCAGTCCCAAGAAAGGTGATCCAACTAAATGAGGACTTTATCAAACAATATCATTGATGACACATGCAAAAAAAAAAAAATAACTGCTGAAGATCATTCAAAAAAAGGCTAGACCAGTACATGCATAGGGAACTGACAGAAGTTCAAGCAGGATTTAGAAGAGGCCATGGCACCAGGGATAACATTGCTGGTAACAAATGGATCCTGGCTCAAAGAAAGGAATACCGAAGAATGCCTATTTGTCCTTGATTGACTATGCAAAGGTGTTTGACTGTGTGGATCATGACAAGTTGTGGCTGACATTGAGAAGAATGGGAATCTCAGAGCACTTGATTGTGCTCTTGTGAAATCTGTACTTAGACCAGGAGGCTGTTGTATGAACAGAGCAAAGAAACACTGCATGGTTTAAAACTAAGATGGGTGTATGTCAGGGTTGTATTCTCTCTCCATAACTATTCCATCTGTATGCGGAGAAAATGATCTGAGAAGTTAGACTGTATGAAGAGGAGTGTGGCATCAGGATTGGAGGGAGAATCATCAATAACTTGAGTCATACAGATGACACAACCTTACTTGCTGAAAGTGAAGAGGACTTGAAGCATTTGTTGTGGAAGATCAAGGAATGCAGCCTTCAGTTGGATTGTGTCTCAATATCAAGAAAATAAAGATTCCTAACAATGGAGCAGTAGGCAGTGTCATGATGGATGAAGAGGAGATTGGAACTGTCAACAGCTTCATCTTGCTTGGATTCACAATTAATACCTTGGTACGAGCAATCAGGAAATAAGGAAACACATTTAACCGAGAATATCTGCAGTCAGAGACCTTTCCAGATTATTGAAGAGCAATGATGTCATTTTGAGGACAAAGATGCATCTGATTCAGGCCGTAATATTTCCAGTTAAACATTGGTCCTTTGGTTTCTGATTATTTCCTACTTCCTGAAGTGATTCCGTGTCAGCCAGTTCTTTTTGTTACAGTGACGCTGTGTATTCTTCCCATTTTCATTTGACGCTTCCTAGATCACTCAAGATTTTGCCAGTAGCATCCTTTAGTATTGCAGCTCAAGGATTGAATTTGTTCTTCAATTCTCTCAGCTTGAGAAATCCTGAGCAAGTTCTTCCCTTTTGATAATTCGGACTTCAATTCTTTGCACATTTTGTTATAATGCTTTGCTTTGTCTTCTTAAGACCCTTTGAAATCTTCAGTTCAATTCTTTTACTTTATTTCTGGTTGAATTATCATAGTCTGCTGACTTCAATTTTGGTCTTTTCTTTTTACCTTTTTTATTATCTTTTGCTTTGTTCATTGATGATATCCTTGATTATCGTTGATGACAGCTCATGTGGTTTTTCATCATTAGTGTTTAATGCCTCAAATATATTTTTTAATTTGTTTTTAAACTCAAGTGTGATAGACCCAAGGTCATATTTTGGTTCATGTGTATTATTTTTAATTTTTTTAT